AGTGAAAACAATATGAGAAGTGTATATACTGGTTTCTAGATTATACATGCTTCAATGGTATTTAACATGTTTTTTTTTTGTGATTCGTGATCAGGAAATACTTGACTTTGCCAAAGATGTCATGAAGCAAAACTTAGCGAGCACTTGACACNCATTCGTAATAGCCACAAAGATCTTATTAACAAATTTCAAATACTTTTTATAACAATGACTCTTGATATTCGACCATGACATGTATTTTTCATAATGATTGTTGTTNTTGATATACTCATGTAGANAATTTTTCGTGTGTAAACTATATACTGTATATGGATTTTTGACTTCATATCATTTTCTTTTTCATGGAGGTTTTAAAGTTATGTCCACTTTGAAAATTCAAAATAGGATACGTAAAGCTACTTTGTGAAAATTTTTTATATAAAATGGCAAATAGACGATATAAAAATCGGAGAAGTTTAAGACGGTGAATATGAATAAGGAAAATAAGATGAAGAATAAAAGTTAGAAAAATGAGGAGAAATGAAGACAACACCGAAATATATAAAAAAAAACCATAAGAAGTAGAAGAAAAACCAGAAATTAATGATTGAGATAAACTAAATGATAAAATCGTGTTATTAAATATTATAATTTGCATTTTCTAATTAAAATGTCATCAAGTTAACAGAACAATGATTACATTGTGTTGAATCACAATAAAAATTTATAAATCATATACACAATTGAACATGAGATACACTAACACAATATATAACTAAGTGTCAACATAAATTCGTGTACGTCAAGCAAGCAATCACAAAATAACACATACCATAACATCACTTTACAAATTTAGAATACTAAATTATAATTTTCATTCTTACAAAATACATTCCAATCTACGTACACCCAACAATTATAATATGACAGATACCTAACCATCAATACTACAAACTTACAATAGTAAATTATAATTTTCAAGCTTACAAAATACATTTAAACCCGCATACGGTGCGGAAAATCACCTAGTTTTGTTTTTATATGTATTTTATTTTTGTAAGTAAATAAAATACATAAATCACCTAGTATTTTATTTTTGTAAATAAAATTTCTTTTATATATATTGTACTTCAATTTGAGAGTATTAAAAACATTATGAGTTTATGATAAAGATAAATGTTCATATATTTTAATTTAAAAATTGGAAATACGTAAAATGAGTATACATATAAAAAAAACTAGGTGATTTTCTGTACCGTGTGCGGGTTTAAATGTAATTTGTAAGCTTGAAAATTATAATTTACTATTGTAAGTTTGTAGTATTGATGGTTAGATATCTGTCATATTATAATTGTTGGGTGTACGTAGATTGGAATGTATTTTGTAAGAATGAGAATTATAATTTAGTATTCTAAATTTGTAAAGTGTTATGGTATGTGTTATTTTGTGATTGCTTGCTTGACGTACCTGAATTTATGTTGACACTTAGTTATATATTTTGTTAGTGTATCTCATGTTAAATTGTTTATATGATTTATAATTTTTTATTGTGATTCAACACCATGTAATCATTGCTGTGTTAACTTGATGACAGTTTAATTAAAAAATGGTAATTTTAATATTTAATAACACGATTTTATCATTTAGTTTATCTCAATCATTATTTTCTGGTTTTTCTTCTACTTCTTATGGTTTTTTTTTAATATATATTTCGGTGTTGTCTTCATTTCTCCTCCTTTTCTAACTTTTATTCTTCATCTTATTTTCCTTATTCATATTCACCGTCTTAAAATTCTCCGATTTTTATATCGTCTATTTGCCATTTTGTATAAAATTTCTTCACAAAGTAGCTTTACGTATCCTGTTTTGAATTTTCAAAGTGGACATAACTTTAAAACCTCCATGAAAAAGAAAATGATATGAAGTCAAAAATCCATATACAGTATATAGTTTACACACGAAAAATTCTCTACATGAGTATATCAACAACAACAATCATTATGAAAAATACATGTCATGGTCGAATATCAAGAGTCATTGTTATAAAAAGTATTTGAAATTTGTTAATAAGATCTTTGTGGCTATTACGAATGCGTGTCAAGTGCTCGCTAAGTTTTGCTTCATGACATCTTTGGCAAAGTCAAGTATTTCCTAATCA